GGGTATGTGTCACGTGCAACACGGACGCAGTAGTCTTGCTGAGTAACATCATTGTCCTAATGACAGGTCTTCGGAACAAGCTGTCAGTTAACTTGGAATACGATAGTAAAAAAACCGATATACAAACAAGAGCGCGCAACGGACTCAAAAATAGGGATGTCGATAGGTATACCATCGATGGAGCATCCATCAACACTAATGACGACGTGTCGAGGCTCAGTACCATCATTACGTCGACGGTACTAGACTCCCTAGGCAAACTCGGGTCTCCCAGCTCAGGGTCCCTGAACACAACAGTGGTTCCCAAAAACCCTGCAGGTGATTCGACCCACGTTAAGAGAGCCCAAAAGAACCAGGCATCACCGCCTAAGCCGAGCAATCCAAGTGTTGCTGCACGGAAAATAACTGGTGATTTAGTCGCACAGTCTACCCTCAAGACTGTTCGTCCGGTCAATAAAGAGCCCAAGATTCATAAACGCACACTGACCTCCAAACAACAAGTTAAACGTGAACCCATCGTGAAACCTGGTAAATTAACAACAGTTCGTGGCGATTCTCTCATTATATATAAGGGCGGCCTGCTTGAGCATCTGGGCTACCTGTTCCTGCCATCTAGATATTTCAACAAGTTATCTATTGTTGTTTGTTTTAATATATCATTATGTTTATTAATCGCATAACCTATTCTGCTGCGTTTCTGAAAAGTGTACAACCTTTCGTTGTCAAAGTTACAGAAAACTCAATAAGAGACAATATGGTTGCTGGCAATGTACAACGAAAAGAATGTACATTACTCAGTTGTTCATTCACTGAAGTGCTAACATCTAACTGGCGATTCCTCAATATTTATCACCAGGACCGACCAAGAAGAAAGAAACGGAAACTTGTTGAAATACTTTGTGCTGAGAATTCTATATTGTACCAAAATTATAATATTGAATAAAGCTAATAATAATAATAATAATAAATAATAATTATCATGAACCTCGTCGACAATCCTGACCTTCCTCTCAGTCTGCAGGATAAAAACGACAGGATGCTGTGGGGTGAATTGAACAAGAAGCTCGAACTTCCTAGAATAGAGCCTTTGACGGTCACCCGGCTCACTCAAGGAAAGGATTCTAAGCATCTAAATCACCCGAGGCTTCTCCGAGTAACACTTAAGAATGCTACCGACGTAGAGGACGTCTTGCTGGCAAGTCACTTGTTGAAATCCGACGGTAACGTAAAAATATTGCCCGACATACCGTACTCTGAGCGCAATATCATACGAAACGTCCCTAAAGAATCTCGCGAGAAGTTTTTCCGCGGAAGAAACATAATTGTCCAAGGTATACCGGAAAATGCAGACCCTACTCAATCAAATTCTGACATCAGGGAATGGAAATTCATCAAGCAGTCCTTGAGGCTCAAACACATACTGACTCAACATGTGACGAGACTAGCCAAGAAGGACGGTGATCTTAGACCCCGTCTAATGAAGATAACCTTCCCATCTTCCCACATGGCGGCTGCAGTTCTGGAAGCATTTCGTGCTAATAGACGTCGATTGCCACCTGGAATCCACATGCACCCGGATAGGCCATACGAAGTCAGGACCAAGAACAAAGGCAAGTTGGAGCTGACCATTCCACTTGTGGACTGTCTAAACGATAAAAAAACGTGTAAAGGACAGGGCCTACCACCTCGGCAAACCTCATATAGGTGGGCTACCTGTCCATTCACATAAGGTCCATACAGAAAAACAGGACGAAGCTCACGCGTTCCAAATTGAAAGCATAAACTGCTTATATATGAACGCCGCGAGTCTACCAAACAAACTGGATGAACTACGTTAGCAACGCTAACAAGGCCCATCTGATAGGAATATCTGAAACCTGGATATCTTCTCAGTTCTCGGACCAAGAGTTAGCATTACCTGGGATGACTTTGTTCCGCAACGACAGAAAAATAAAAATTGGGGGCGGAGTAGCCATATACATAAGCTCTTGCTTGGAGGTGCACCAGGTTCACAACCTCGAGTTTAACAATCTTGAGGAATCCATATGGTGCTCTGTAAGGTTGTCTAGTACTTCCAGGTCTCTAGTCGGAGTCATTTACAGGAAGCCAACTGCCGACACCGAGTACGATAGTCGTATGCTGGAAGGACTATCCCGCTCTATCCGTCTCGGTTTCACACACATCCTGATTCTAGGGGACTTTAATCTCTCTAGAGTCAATTTCGCGGAACACACGTACACTGGAGGTGACAACTCAACTGAAGCTCGGTTCTTCAAACTCATCGATAACTTGGGCTTATATGAAAATGTGAAGTGGGCAACTCGTTGGAGAAACAGCCAGACACCATCGCGCTTAGACTGTGTATTCACTAACGAAGAATTCCTAGTCGACAACCTCTCAATCCTGGCTCCTCTGGGAAAGAGCGATCATGCCGTCATAGCCTTCAGTTTTGTCATCAAAACTAAGCTAAGGTATCCCAACAATAATTTGCGTTGGAATTTTAAACGGCTGAATGTGCCAGCTCTACATGACTATCTACAACAGGTGGTTCGGGATGTTCACCCTCAACTCGATGTGGATGGTCATTGGGACTTCTTACTGCACACGCTCTTATGTGCTACAGACCATTCAGTTCCTCAAACGGTTCCCAAAAGCTGCAAGCCACCTACAGTAATCAAGAACCGTACCCTTCGCCTGCTAAGCCGCAAAAGACACTGTTGGGCGGAATACATACGAACTAATAACGATGGAGCGTATAGGCAATATAAACATATCAGGAACATATGCACGAAGGCTATAAGAGAAGACAGGCCTCAGTACCAAACAAGGCTTATGGACAAATTTGCCTCTAATCCCAAAAGCTTATTCCGTTATGCAGTCTCTCTTCGTCAAGCCAAAACTGGAGTTTCCTAATTGGTAGGTCTTAACGGCCCGACCAACAACGATGGCGACGCCGCTAACCTTCTGGCTGAACATTACTTCCAGACGTTTCAACCGAACGACATTAACTTTACTGATAACAGTTTCATTTGCAATTCCACAGAACTTTCTGAAGTGAACCTAAGCTCTGACCTGGTGTTCCGGAAACTGCAGCACTTAAGATCAGACACTTCTCCTGGCCCGGACATGGGCCATTCCGCCATACAGAGGGAAGCAGCCTCAATTCCGGCAACGCCGCTTAGCGTCATGTTCTCACACTCGCCAAGTCGAGGTAAACTACCGGAAAATTGGAAGTTGACTCACATCACACCAATTTTCAAAGGAGGTCGACACAGTAAAACTCCAAGTTACCGACCGGTGGCTCTTCTCTCCATACCTTCAAAAATCATAGAGTCCCTGATATGCAATGGTATGCATGACTATTTAATGTCTTAAATTTCTTCTCACCCCAACAGCGTGGTTTCAGGAAGGGCAAATCTTGTATAATCAACCTGCTGACTGCGGTGGACAGATGGACAAGCATCCTCGACTGCAAGGGAAAGGTTGATATCATTTACCTTGATTTCTCAAAAGCTTTTGATAAGGTTAACCATACATGTCTTATCAATAAGCTCAAACAACTAGGTATCAAACCACCTCTAATCGATTGGCTTACTTCATACCTAAAAAATCAACACTTTAAGGTTAGGGTTAATTTCACTTTATCTCAAGCTATGGAATGTCCTAGTGGGGTCCCCCAGGGCTCAGTACTAGGGCCTCTTCTCTTCTTGATCTACATAAATGATCTTCTTCAACAGGTAACGTCAGACTTATTACTTTTTGCCGACGACGTGAAACTTTGGAGAGAGATACGCAACCAAGACGATAAACAGGCACTTCAAGAGGATCTGACTCGACTTCAAAGTTGGGCAGACGATAGCGGACTTATCTTTAACACTTCAAAGTGTAAAGTAGTCCATCTGCGACATGTCGCAAACTACAGTTACAACTTAGGAAACTCCTCTCTAGTAGTATCCCAAGTCGGAAAATATTTAGGTGTCCTGGTGCCACATGACTTAAAGGCTTACGCTAACTGTGACAAAAATGCCTTCCGAGCAAACCTTGCACTGGTAACGTTGAGGCGCATTTTTGGCCAGTTTGACGGAAGGACTTTCCACACAGTCTTCAATAGTTTCATCCGTCCCCATTTAGAGTACGGAAACATAGTACTGCCCCCTCACTCCAAAAGGACAAGGTCACTTTGGAGCGTATCCAACGGCGAGCCACGAAATCAGTTCGAGGACTCAAATCTAAGCCTTACGAAGAACGCCTCCGTTCACTAGACCTTTACCCACTAGAATATAGGCGTCTTAGAGGTGATTTATTAATGGCTTATAGTATTCTTAACACTTCTGGACATCCTCTTAAACACCTACTTAATCCTAGTTCGAATAATAACCTAAGGGGTAACACCCAGAAACTGGAAACACAACATAGCAAGACGGAATGTAGACACAACTTCTACTCCTTAAGAGTTGTCAAAAGCTGGAACTCGCTGCCGGCCGAGCTAGTCCAAGCGACTTCTCAGGAGTCCTTCAAGAGGCAACTTGACCTATTCTTAAGGACCAAGGACAGCATCACACTATGATTTACCAATTTCTTTTCCTCTTTTATTGTTAACATACCTAGGTTCCTGACTGGAGGATTTGGTGATCCCCTGCTACTAGACACGGAAGCCTGTTAAGCGAAAGCTTCTTCTATTCCGTCCACAACCATCTGAACCATTTGAACCATTTGCAGGGGTTGTTGAGCACGGCGTTCCCACTCGTGATCTGGTGCGGATGCATGGTCGAGCGCTTTCAGCTAGGCGAGTCCATTAAAACATGTGGTCAGCATCCAATGTCGAAAACTTACAGAGCTATTTATTTTAGGGATTTATTTACCGCTACAGCGTTCTTAGTTAGGTTTATGTCACAGTATCTCACTATCAGTGCAGTTTTTACAATCGCTTTCAAAAATGATATCGCGTTCATGTTATACACCAGGTCAGATCATTCCAAGACGTTTGTAGTCGTTGTAGAGTAATTATAAGGAGCGCTAAGTATGAGCTGTGACCATGAAGAACGCGGGTAGCGCTTCAGGGGTAATAGTATCACTTATTTTGCCATACTTTTTTATTTCTGCTTTGTGAACAGCCCAAAATCGAAATTAATTATAAGTAAATTTGAAGGTTTGTTCCCCGTCTTTACAATTAAGTGAAAAAGGGAACGCGTAAGTTGAATTTGTTACAGGCGTAAAATGCTCCGGAGAAACCATAATTTATTAAGCTACATTGAGCATGTGGGGAACTCCGAATTGGTCCATAAAGCAACTTAGGAAAGATATAAATTGGGGAAGCGTTTGACCCAGCCGGATGTCTTACTAACGGCTGTTACTCCTAATGGAGCATAGGCCACCGACCAGCATCCGACAACCCACTCTATCCTGGGCCTTCCTTTCTAGTTCTATCCAATTTTTGTTCATTTTTCTCATGTCTGTCACCATTTATCGACGTAATGTGTTCTTTGGTCTTTTTCTTCTCCTTTGGCCTTGAGGATCCCATGTGAGGACTTGCCTTGTGACATAGTTGAGTGCTTTCCTCCATGCGTGTCCTATCCACTTACAGCGCCTCTTCCTGATTTCTCCCTCCTCTGGAATCTGGTTTGTTTTCTCCCACAGTAGTTTGTTGCTGATAGTGTCTGACCAACGGATCTGAAGTATTTTGCATAGACAACTGTTAATAAACACTTGTATTTTCTGGATGATGTCTTTCGTAGTTCTACAGGTTTCCGCCCCATACAGTAGAACTATCTTGACATTTGTATTGAAAATTGTAACTTTGGTGTTGGTTGACAGTTGCTTTGAGTTCCAGATATTCTTCAGTTGTAGATATGCTGCTCTTGCTTTGCCGATCCGCGCCTTCACATCTGCATCAGATCCACCCTGTTCATCAATGATGCTGCCCAAATACGTAAAGGTTTTTACATCTTCCAAAACTTCGTCAAGTGTTATTCGATTGTTTCATGCTGTGTTCTATCGGATAATCTTGCTTTTCCCTTTGCGTATGTTGAGACCTACTACTGCTGAGACTGCTGCTACACTGGTCGTCTTCTGCAATTTTTTTGCGTTTGCGATAGAAGAGCCAGATCATCTGCGAAGTCTAGATCGTCCACCTGCATCCTAGATGTCCAATGTATCCCGTGCTTCTCCCCAGGTGTTGACATCATGATCCAGTCGATCACCAGGAGAAAGAGAAAGAGTGAGAGTAAGCAACCTTGCCTGACACCGGTCTTCACCTCGAACGAGTTTGTCAACTGTCCTCCATGCACGATTTTACAGTTTAATCCATCAAAGGAATTCTGTATAATACTGACTATCTTCTGAGGCACGCCATAGTGTCGAAGAAGCCTCCATAGTGTTGTCCTGTTCACGCTATCAAATGCTTTCTCGTAGTCAATGAAGTCTGTGTAGAGTGATAAATTCCATTCAATTGACTGTTCCACAATGATCCGTAGAGTTGCGATTCAGTCTGTACACGATCGATCCTTACGAAATCCAGCTTGCCGGTCTCGAAGCCGGATGTCTACTAGCAACCTATTCCAGAGGCTTGCATAGCGTGTTACAAAGGAAGTTGACTTCAGTGTGCTTGATGTTCTCGATATCCCACTGTTGATTTGTGTGACGACCACAATTGATTTCTTCGATCGTTGGTGGAATGACATCTATAGGAAGGTCTGTATATACTGTTTCGATAACCGGTGAATTCAGTGGAGCTGGTCTATTCAAGAGTTCCTCGAAGCGTTCTACCCATATGTTCCCCTGTTCTTGAATCTCGGTGATTGGCTAGTCTTCTTCGTCCTTGACCGGTCTCTTTGGTTTACTATATTCCCCTACCAGTTTCTTCGTCGTGTGATATAGTTGTTTCATATTTCCTCTTGTAGAACTGATCTTTATCATCGTTATTACTATCATTGGTGGGTACATTACATTGGATAACATTCATTGTAATTCCCTCCTTTGTTTTGAAGGATGCTTTGATGTTCCAGGATCCATGAGATTGCCATCCTACAAGTGCATTACGTGCTTGTTCCGACAGCATCAGAGCAACTTCGTGAGTGTGTGGAGCATTTTCTTGTTCGTGACCAGAGTACGTGAGCATCTTTCCCAAATCTAATGTTTTCTGTCCAGTTTGGGTCCAATAAGTTTCATTGATTCCGAGAACTGCCAATTTGTATCATTTCCGTTGCTATTTAATTGGTCCTCCCGGTCTCCCACATTGTCTGGACATTCCGTATACCTATAACGAATGTTGCTCTGGTTGTTAGAAGGGGCATCGACCTTGTGACTTCCGAAGAATTTCGGCTTTCATGATGAGGCGTGATAATTCTTCTGAATGAAGATGCTTGAACTCGGAGAACAGAGTTTAAATTGTTTATTCTGGTTAGTATTTGTTTTCAGCTAGGTTGTTTTCTACGGGATAGGGTTGCCGACCCCACTCCCAACCCTCTTCGTTTGTGTTGGCTTGGGAACGGCAGTAGCCCTAGAAGAGGTATAGGCGGAGTTTTAGTTTCCACATCTGACATCTAATTCTTCTGGGATTGTTTTGTTTTGAAGTAATTGGACTCTGACCAATATCATGAACTCTAATGTATGCACGATTGACGACTTTTCCGAGCTTAAGGATCTAGTTGAGAAGTCCCATAATGTTAAGGTAAGTAATATTGGAGTTTTGCATAAAACTGATTTTACAGGCAGATGTATCTGATGAAATCAAGAACTTACTTGCTAGAAGAAGTGAAATAGAGCACAAATTAAAAAAGATAAACTCTCTAATGTATGCAAGCCCGTTAGCTATACTTTTTCTGTAGACCTGATTTCCATAAGTTACAAATAAATGCCGAAAATTCTTCAAGATTGGTGGGCTGTGCTTCAAAACTTGCTCTACAGCTCAGTGGGAAAGTGGAGCAATTAGATTTTGTAAAAGTAATCTTATTGAATTCCTAGTATTTTTCAGAATCATGTTCTTAATTGTGTAGATAAACTTAGTCATATAATTACTGTAAGGAACAGTGCAGTTGGAGTGAAACGATGTCTCATTGACTCTAAATTAGATGAAGTAACTTAGTTGATTATCACAGTTATTTTTAGGCCGCTGGTTACGTGTTTACTTATCTGGAAATGGAGAGAGACATAATTTCTCTTATCTCTCGTCTATCAGCGGGTAAGCCTGTTTTTCACTTTAAAATATCAGCTGTCTAAACCAGTAGTTTTCTCACTGTCCGGGTTCATTCGCTTACATATATAAAGCATATTTTGATGAATTGCTTAAAAAGTGGTTGTGAACTGTTACTTCGACTTCTCTGCTTGTGGTTTTATTGGAAGTAGAGATAGCTTCCCAATAACCTGTAACTACATGCCTAACACGAGATCCTGGTCAGCAAATTATATGAAAGTGGGAAGACTACATGTTTCAGTCATAATGAGGGACCATTTAGAAATATGTCTCGGACAGCCCCTATACTTCATGTCGAAACAAATGAAGGAAGAGCCTAACAACGTGAAAGTAATAGATGCCAAAATAATTGCAGTATTAGCCAAAGTAAGTGACTAAAAGTATCTATATTAAAATCGGAATTTAGAGATAGGTAGGAAATAAATGGATCTATGTTGTTAAGTCCTATTTTGAGCCACGTTTATTCGAGTTCTTCAACTGTTTACCACGATTATCTAGAGGACCTTGATCAAGAATTCAATACCTCTCCCACACAGCTTAGATAGATGATTTCGTGGTCGCTTTTAACCTCTCAACCTACCAGATCGGTTAGCATTGATCAGGATATGACGTAACTGGAGTGTGCATAACATGTCTCAAAAACTTACAAGTTCAGAATAGTTTAGAAGTCACAGTTCTATCATTGGTTATGGTATTAAAACTTAGCATACATTGGCTATTTGTTCTCACCACTTACGTTTAACTGCTATATATGTTGATGGTGACGTTTATTGCCAATTTCTTGAAGATTGATGTAATCTAACCGTTGTATCAGTCGAACACTATTCCGTTAAGTAAAAGGAATAAAAAAGTGAAACATTTCCAAATACTTCAATAGTGAATCAGTGGCTTGTTGGTTTAAACATTAAGCTATCGACCAGTGGAGGGTAGGTTTAAACTCCAAATTCTGTGTTTTAAGTATTCAGATATTATCACTAGTCGTCACAAAACATGACTCAAATCCGAGCATGGAGCTTCGTAATTGGCTGATGAGTCACAATATTAATATCATCATTATAAAGTCTAAAGGTGAGAAACTAGACGCATTTAAATGAATGCTCCACGCCTGTCAAATGTATGGTGATGGTCTCAGTCAGTCACAACGTAGAACTTGGTGCGTTTGTATGTCAATTCAAGTTTTCATACCCCATCATCACTGAGAAATGAAATTGTCAGGCCAAATCCCAGAATAGTAGAGGTAGTCACCGTATCAGTGTTAATAGGAACGATTAGGCACCGAAAATACGATTCAATAGGAAAATATAAATTAGTGAAATAAAACAAGAGATTCATGAGGAATTTAGGGGAAGACAAAGAATGGATGCAACTGCGCCATTGCAGACGATTTTGAGCCATGTCATTTAAAGTCCCTAACTATTGGTTACGATAACCACACGTACCTCAATAAGGTAGTCTATATCTATTAACATCACCAAGTCCAAATGTCAGTGACTTCACGGACTGATGCTATGTTTCGGTTTGGCTGCTCTTAGGTTTCTTCCAGCCTACTCCCACACCTACATACGTAACACGTCTCAACCACCTCACTTGATGAAGATTTACTACCTCATCAATCTATTTGTCATTCCTACCTAGTACCCTTCTTAATTCAGGCATTGCTTATTCTGTGGTCCCAAAATACACGAGCAATGCTTCGAAAATACCTATGATTTGATGCATGTAACCTACGAATATCCTCTATTTTTGATGGCCATGATGGTGGTTTGACTAATTGGAAATCAATAGTGTCTAAGGAGTTACGAATGAGTCATAATCAACATATAACTTGACACAAATGTGTTTGAGCCCAGATTAGGATCTCATGGTAGCTCAACAAGATTGTTATAACTTGTGCCCTGTGTCCTGTTGATGTGTAACGTGATGATACCGCCAATTAGAGTACAATGGATTATCGATCGGACCAATCACGCATAAAACATGTACGAGCAGTCCAGAGTCCTTATCGGTCCTGCTTCCTACCTAGCCCAGCCTACTAATTTCAGAACACCATCTCAGCCTCTGCGATATAAATCATTTATTTCAAACATACTGCCTTTATATACAGACCAGGCAGACCTCATCGTACCATAAGATAGGAAACAACATCTGTACAAGATTTGGCCAAAAGTGGCTGTGAATGTGGGAGGTAGTAATTGATAGACTGGGTATAACTCAAGAATGATGAATCGTATAATAATTCATAGGTCAAAATATAGCTCATAATACTGAATAGTTTAGTTAATTAATAATTATACGATAAAAATATACGCATAGTATTGGTCCATAAATGGATCCCAAAAGTTACCATTCATTATTCTTATCGGGATATAAAAAAGATGACATCAACAAAAAGTAGCAAATGAGTCGAAATACTAGTAATATCAATGATAATGAACGGCCAAAATTTCAGAGTATACTTCAAAAACAAGGGGCGAACTAAAGCCATATATATAAAAGCCAATTTGACAGTATATTAATATGAGAAGCCAACATATAGAAACATGTTCGGACGTCAAGCTCCACGAACTAGCTATTACTGAAACAGGCATATGTTACTCAACAAGGTTTTTATTACCCAATAGAACTAAATAGTGATATCAAGATTAAAAGGATAATTAATTAGTTCGTACACCTCCGTACTTTTTTCTATCATTTTAATGGTTTCTATACCGTATTATAAATATAAATTAAAGTTTATTATGGCACAGCCGGAGATGGGTCTAATTAGTAGAAAAAAATTATAATCTTGTTCAAATTGTCACAGTACAGATTTGTGAGAATTTCTACATTTCTCTGTGGTTTATAATCCTGGTATTGATTCAGCTCATCAAACTGCAACACGACTGTACAGTTTAACTTGCCAACATACACATACTATATTTATTCTGATTTTATAAACCCTATCCTCAAATATTACATGTTATAGTTTCTACTCTTCGATTGAAAATGGTCTCTTATTTGTGATTGTCATATTAATGATGATCTAAAATAATACTTTATAGATAATCCTGATAATAACCCATTGAAAACTCTGGATGACAGTCGACAAATTCTCGTAAAGATGGCAATTGGGAAATTCGATGAATATGTTTCGAAACGGGATGAAAAGAATATAGTACATTTGTTAAAGATATTTTTCTTATTGGGCGAAACCAATGAAGGAATTCGACGATTTTCTACATATCTTTGTTCATACATTTCAAATAAATGTGAAATATTGATAAATACTTATAAATCATCTTCAAAATCATCTGAATTTGCATCAGCTAATCTAATCACAGAAATTTTAGAGTTTGTTGCGGATACATTAAAAAATAATTCAATGTACGTCGAAACATACTGTGGTAAGTATAAAATGTTTATTGTCATTTAAAGAAACGAGGAGAGTTGTGCTGAAGCTAATTTTTCTGACATTTTCAATGTGAAATGTTTACAAGGCGCAAAAGCATTTTAATGTTAAGAATTTGTAAAATACCGGTTGTTATGGTAGCAAAATATGTTTTATTTTGGTTAACTCGTTTATGATGACACGTAATGATCTTGTGTGATACAGTTATAGTAAATAATTGTGTTGTATTAATACCGGAAAACTATTTGCTTAACCTTTTCAAACACATCAATTTCTTTGTAAGGGTTTGTGTTTCCCTGCTGTTTATATACTGGTGTGCAATTCACTGGTACATTTACATCCTGAGCAAATGCTTCAATATTGCCTTCTAAATTACAAGTCCTCAGTATGCATTCTTTGTAGCCCTGAAATTTCAGTAGGTGGAAAATACAAACCCCTGACCCGTTGGACACATCAGTGGCTATCTGGAATCACTAGTTTGTTGGATAATGCGTTGACTTTTAAGGCGATAGGTACTGAATTGAGGTCTCAGTGTAAGTATTAACACTGATGCTGGTACATCCATCTGACGTGTCCTAAACAGGAGGCAACACACGTCCTATATCCTCCTGCTAACTGCAGTACAAATGTACTGTACATCACTTATTTATTTGAGTCCATTTATAACAGGCAGTTTTACGAAGTTATGTATGTGGGGGTAGCTGTAATCAGGTTACGTGGTGTTATTTATTGATTTTCTTATGTTTTTGTTAGGCCCAGGCAACATATTTGGGTTTGTATCTTCTGTTCATTGTGTCGTTGACCAATACGTCAAGTGTGTAATCGAGCGTTTCTATGATTGTCATCACCTTGATGAACTTTGTTCAGTGCTCAAGAAATTAAATAGTAATAGTTTAAACAGTAAAAGACATGATTCATCAGCTCAATCGATCAATAAAGATAAAATATTGGATTCAAACGAATTAGGATCAGATCGCGTATTGATCATTGAGCCTATAATTGTTGAAACGTTACAGATCATTACATGTTCAGAACTTTATTTGAGATTTATACAAAGGCGAATTTCTGTAAGTTATGTTTTATACCTATGAATAATCAATAATAACATTCACAATGTTAAGAAGTAAATTTATAAGATCAGTTTTTAATTAAATTGAAATTGAGAAATTTCAATTAAATAATGTTTATTTAGAAATTGCTTTAAACTATGCTTAGATTCATTGTATTAATCTGTTCCAAAAAAAAAGAAGTTAATATTGTCATTCTGAGTTTAATTCTTTAAAACATTGCCCCCAAATGCCCTGGTAATGCCGAGAGTGAGGAGAGTTACCTCTCTCGAAATGCTTTCACATGGTCACGCATATACAGCCACTACCAGGGAAGTCCTACTCACTGCCTTCTCGCGGTGGCCTGGTGTTTACGAAATCGAGAGGATAAAAGGAGTGTTTCCAATGCTTTAACCGGGTTGGTCAGTCAGTCAGTCAGCTACAACGTAGGACCAGGCACATATGTGCATCGGTCCAGGTTGCCATACCTCATTAGCACAGCAAGATGAACAGCGGATTCATAGGAGTGGTTAGGTCAAAGGTTGCAATAAGGATATAGTATAGGAAGAAAGAATTAGTTCGTAGACAGAAAGAATGAAGTGATTTTAATCTCATAGTTTAAGGGAAGACAGGGAGTGTATACACCGACGCCATTGTGATCGATTCTGAGCCATGTCACCGAGAGTCTCCAACCATTGGTTACGAAAGTCACGCGGACCCCAACCAAGTAGTGTGCATCTACCAACATGGCTCAGACTAGAAGTTAGTGACTTCAGGCACTGATGCCACGTTTTGGTTTGGCCAACCCTAACTTTCTTCCAACCATCCCCTACCCCGGTTAGCATTGCACGTCGTGGTAATCGGTGTTCAGGCATACGTAGCACGTAGCCGAACCATCTCAGTCGATGAAGATTCATAACCTCATCAACTGATTTACCATCATTCCCTAATACCCTGCGTCTAACCTCACTATTATTTACCCGGTGATCCCAGCAGATGCCAGCAATATTTCTAAGGCATCTGTGGTCAAATACTAGTAGCTTACGGGTGTCTTCTACTCTTAGTGGCCATGCTTCGCTGCCGTAAATTAAAACAGAACGAACTGCCGCGCAGTATACTCGTCCTTTTATTGATAGACGGATATCTCGCCTTCGCCATACGTGACGTAAGTTGGCAAAAGCCAAACGAGCTTTTCGAATCCGTGCTGAGATTTCGTCAGACACCAACCCATTAGGGCTGATCAGACTTCCAAGATAAGTGAAGTTGTCAACGCGTTCAACTACTTCACTCCCTATCCTTAGTTCAGGTGTTGACGGAGACCAGTCCTGAAGCAACAACTTGCATTTAGAGGGAGAGAAGCGCATCCCAAACATTCTGGCATTGTTGCTTAGTGCTACCAGAAGACTCTGCATTTTGTCAGCGTCTTCACCAAACAGGACTGTCATCTGCGTATTCTAAGTCGATAAGTGGACCTCCTGGAAGGAGATCAATACCCGAGAATTCAGTCGACGAGAGTGTTATTTCCATCAATAGGTCTATGATGAAGTTAAACAAAAATGGAGAAGGTGGGCAGCCTTGACGGACACCACTTGAGGTTGCAAAAGCAGATGACAGTTCGCCATAAGCCCTGACTCGACTAGTAGTGTTCGAGTAAAGAGCCTTCACAAGGTTTATGTACTTCTGAGGTACGCCTTTCAATGACAGACACTGCCACAGAGTCTCGCGGTCTACGGAGTCAAATGCTGCTTTTAAGTCAAGAAGTACCACCATCGTCGGACGCCGATAGGTATGCCTGTGTTCTAGAACCTGACGAATGGTGAATATGTGGTCGATGCAGCCACGACCAGGTCCAAAGCCAGCTTGGTTCTCTCGTGTTTCCAGTTCACGAGTCTTAGTTAGGCGTCTGATAATTATCGAGGCTAGTATTTTAGATATTATATTAGTTAAACTAATCCCTCTGTGGTTGTCACAGGATGATTTTGACCCTTTCTTATATATTGGGACGATAAGTGATTGCGACCAGTCAGATGGGATAAAGTCTAATTCCCAGATCTTAGCTAAAATATTAGTCAACCTAATCGCTAAAATTGGACCACCATCCTTAAAGACCTCTGGAGCCAATCCATCTGGACCAGCTGCCCTTCCTCGTTTCAGATTAACTATAGCCTTTTGAACTTCAGCAAGAGTCGGGGGACCTACTTCAATGTTCCATTCACACTGTCTGGGAATGGAGGGTAGTTGTAGAGTAGCTGAAGGCCAGCTGAACTGTTCCCTAAAGTGTTCCGCCCATCGTTCTAAACGCCTGGACTTGGAGCAGATGAGTGTATCGTCTTTTTCCGATATAATCTCACTTACACTTGACTTATTAATTCCAGTTTCTTTTATTAGTCTGTAAAGCTGTCTTGTGTTCCCTATAGTCGCCGCCTTTTCCATCTCTTTTGCTTTCGATGCCCACCACTGCTCACGGTCGTTTCTTAGGCTTTTTCTTAACCTAGATCTGATTTGTTTTCGCTCTTCATCATGTTCAGAACCTGATGGGACGAGTTTGCGAGAATCCATCAGTGTGACAGACCTTGAAGAAATCCACTGGTTCCTTGCAACTCTGTGGTTTAAGTCACTAATAGATGTCACTGCTGTTTCCACAGCTGATTGTATGCCCTTCCAAGCAACATCTGGGTCAGCCTCGTCTTCAGAACTACCTAAGTGTGACCTCAGTTGTTCCTGGAACCTACTTTTGGTTTTCTCGTTACTCAACTCAGTTCTAACGGGTCTTTTTAATATGGCTTTTTTGCGTCCAGTGAGGCGCAAGCAGATGCGTGCCCGTATTAGGGCATGGTCGGAGTCCAAGCAGTACTCCAGAATGAGCGACAATCTTCAACCGACCCTCTCCAACGATGACTGATGGCAATATGGTCTATTTGAGTCCATGGTTGGTTTGGTGTAGGGGGTCGTCATGTTAGACGATGTCTTTCCTTATGCTTAAAATTTGTGTTTGCTAAAAATAAACGATTATCTGAGCATAGCTGCAGCAGACGATCACCATTATCTGTTCGCTGTGTCGGAATACTAAAATATCCACCTAAATGCCTTTCTGTTTGGTTTAAACTGCCTATCTGAGCATTAAAATCACCTGCTACGAGTACTATGTCTGAGCGTTTAGCTTTCTGAAGAAGTTCGGACAGCTTTCTGTAAAATTCATCTTTCACATCATCTGAGCTGCAGTCATTGGGAGCGTAGGCAGAAACGACAAAAAGGCAACGACGTGTGTCCCTATCCTTCCGAGTTCTTACGTAGCCGTTCAGCCGAACAGCACATAGACGACTGTTGACGGGGATCCACTCTAACAGTGCTTGTTCGGCCCTCATGCTTAGTGCTATGCCTACACCTGCCAGTCCACGAGAACTTGCCATCGGGTCACCTGATACACGAAGGGTGTATCTCGTCGGCTCTCCGTTTTGCCGAGGTGAGGTCAAGTGAATGACCACACTGGAATCCTGTATGCGTGTTTCGGAGACACAGCACACGTCAATGGTAAGAGACTCTAGGGTTTTAGCCAAGGAAGCCTGGTGACCGATTTGACATAGGGTTCGTACGTTGAAGGCTCCAATGTGTAGTTTGGAGCGAGGTTTCAGTAGACCTGGGACAGTATTTTGCGCACTAGAATCGTTGGCTATGGTGACACTTGAGGTGGAAGCCGAGAGAGGAAATTTAAAGTTGAAAGTCGATGTAGGAGGAATAATAGGAATTGAAGAGGAAGGTTGATTATGAATACAGTGGTCTTGAGTGCTGTTAGAGGTATGAGGGTGGTTTTCACTTCCCGGTTGCCCACACCGTGGAAGGGTTGTTCTGGAGGTACCTGAAAAGGAATTTGGATTAAAGGTGGTCTTAGTGACCTGAGAGCGTGACCGCAGTGTCCAAGGGACAACTGCTTGAGGTCGGTCACACACGACCTTTTTATAGGTAATTTTTGTGTTAGCTCCGTACTTGTTGAGACCTTACCGCCGGAGACGGATATCCGTGAGATAAGGCGAGGTGTGCATTTTTAGGGTCGACCTTTTCTAACCCCACCCCTCCTTGTGGGAAGGCAGCATCGCTGTCATGCTGGTTGTGTGAAGGAAACACCTTATTGCTGTCACACCTCTGTACAGTCAGCAGTACGACTTCGGACCTTGGGTTTGTTGCTTTTAGTCTTACCGCTCTTCAACCGACCTGTCTGACATGGTAGGACCTTGAGGAACGGTTGTTCCAGCCAGTATAGCTCGGTTGCTTCATCACGATAGGCAAGCCCGACCACCACGTCAAGGTAGCAACAACGGTCGGGAAGCCGACTCCTCGACCGGGAATCGAACCCGGGCCTTCCACGTGACAGGCGGAGATACTTACCACCCTGATTCAAAACCATTAGTGCTCATGGGCTCCAGTATTCTGAAGGAACAAATGGCGTATGAACCAATCGCTGATCACTGGCATCCATGGGACTGTATGTCCTTACGATGCTCCAATGCCTTTTGGATCAGGCCTTCATGTCAAAGGCTCCAGGTGTGGCCCCCTAAGAACACCACCTGTTTCGGTCTGGGCACCCGGGCAGTATCACAGCCCTCACACATATCAAATGAGATTTGTGTTTCGCACATGTATTTGGTACCTCCTTGTACCAATATCTATGTGTCCAAGTAATAATAATAATAATAATAATAATAATAATAATAATAATAATAATAATAATAACTTCAAAACATTGTGCATACATTCGTGAAAACATATTGTACATAAAATATAGATAAATGTAAACAATTATTAATAATAAATATTTTTTTGTTATATCTCAATGAGTAGAAAAAATGTATTTCTGATGACATTTCGTGACTTAATGTAAGCCATTCCATCAGATTAAATAAATAACGCAGGATATTAGGGAATGATGATGGTAAATCAGTTGATGAGGTTGTGAATCTGAGATGATTGAGCCACGTATTACGTATACCTGAACACCGATTACCACGACGCGCAATGCTGACTAGTGTTGGGGATAGTTGGAAGAGTTAGGGGTGGCCAAACCAAAACGTGGCATCAGGCCACAACGTCACTAACTTCTAGTCTTAGCCATGTTGGTAGACTGTGTGTGACATGGCTCAGAATCGATCACAATGGTGTAGGTGTATACACTCTCTGTCCTCCCTTAAACTGAGATTAAAATTGCTATATATCTTTCTACGAACTAATCCTTTCTTCCTGTACTATTTCCTTATATGGAATCTTTCTTTTATATATTACGATCATTTAATTAACTACTTCTTTGAAGTCGGTGTTCATCTTGTTGTGCTAATGCAGTATGGCAACTTGGATCGATGCACATATGTGCCTGTTCCCACGTTGTAGCTGACTGACTGACAGTACACTAGTAAATAAAATATTTCGGAATTAATAAGTATCAGTACTTGCTGATGAAATAACATACAAAATGAATACATGTTCTAGATCTACTTATTATTTTCATTCAAATTATAAATAACTAATTTGGAATATGCGAAATATATGATTAGTAGTTCAAGAGAGGTCGTTCCAAATAGTTTTAGAAAAGAAACTTAGTAATCTTTAATTCTAGGTTTCACACATTTATGGAAGAGTGCTCTATCTTTTACTCATAGTAAAAAACATAAAGATACTTATTATTTATTTAATCACAGACCATGTATATGTAAATATGTGAAATCGTAATGATGTCTTTTTTCTTCTTCTGTAGGCTGATATCAAACAGTGCAATCTTGCAGAAAATGATTTTAAAAGTACGTAGAATGGCTCGCTCTTTTGTAGTGTTACAGCATAGTAATTAACCTTTGATACTGTATCTTTATAATTTATCGATTAAAATTTTAAATTTACTTATTTATTACTGCCCCCAAATGCCCTGGTATGGCCGAGAGTGGGGTGGGCCCGCCCTCCCTATCGAAATGCTCTCACACGGCCACGCGTGTACAGCCTCTGCCAGGGAAGTCCTACTCACTGCCTCCTCCTGACGAGGGTGTTTTTTACGAAAATGAGAGGACGAAAAGCGAATGTCCGGCGCTTTAACCGGATCCAAAACCAATGGTGCACATAGGCTCCAGTATCCTGCGGGAACAAATGGCGTATGAACCAATCGTTGGTCACCGGCTACCATGGGACTGCATCTCCTCACGATGCTCCACTGACTTGTGGGTTAGACTTTTAGGTCAAAGGCTCGGAGTGTGACCCCTTAAGATAACCACTTGCTTCGGCCTGGGCACCTGGGCAGTATCACAGCCCACACACAAATAAAATGAAAATGACGATATTAACTGAGAATTCTATTCACGCTTTGATTAACAGTCAAACAATTCACATTATTATTATTATTATTATTATTATTATTATTATTATTATTATTATTATTTACTACGTCATTTATTCACTCTTTTATTCCCACTTTATGTATCCTTATTTTTCGACTTATACAGCAGCTCGCCTATGGTGGAAACTCGGTTCTAGCTAAACGTTCTCGAGTCACTGCCTGGTTGAAAATTGTATACTACCACCAAATACGAATACTGAAGCGATTTTTCTGAAACCGCGTGCACCATTCAAACTGGCTGACTTCAAAGTTCGCACACTTATGCAGGTTGGACAACAGATAGGGCTGGCTGTCTTTGGAAAGTCTTAATATCGATGTCTGCTGTCTATCCGAGACCCGTATTCAAGACTCTGGTGAAGTACTACAAATTCGCTCTTCATCTGTCGCTTCGAAAAGCTTGTTTTACGTGCGCTTATCCGGGGACACTGTGGCATATTCGTCTGGTCTGGCCGGCGTTGGTGTCGCACTAAGCGCTAGAGCTGAGGCAGCACTAATCGATTGGATCCCCATTAACAGTCGGTTGGTTATGTGCTGTTAGATTAGAAAGTTCCATCAAAGTGAGAAGAAATCGGGGTGAGAAACGATGTCTTTTCATCATCTCCGCCTATGCTCCGACAGATTGCAGCCCGGATGCAATCAAGAATGAGTTTTACCACCAGTTAACTGTTCTTCTCCAGAAAGTGCGTTCGACAGATATTGTAGTACTAGCCATGAGACTTGAATGCTCAGGTCGGGCGTCTAGGCACAGAAGAGAATCGTTTAGGTGGCCGATGGGGACTCGTTGGTCGCAGGACAGATAACGGGAACCGTCTACTGCAACTGTGCACAGACCACAACCTGTTTCTGGCTAGCACTAACTTTCGGCACAGTCGTCGCCAATGTGCCACCTGGCGTCCTCCCTCTGCATCTCAAGCCTGGACTCAGATTGATCACATCGCGATCAGCTACCGCTGGCGTGGTTGTGTACAAGACTGCCGCTCCTTTTGGAGTACCTATCTGGACTCTGACCATGCCATGTTCTGCGACAGTCTTACCTTACTTTTCAATGGCCAACGAAGTGACCTCCACCAACGGATTGATGTTAGCAAGTTGGTTGCAACTTCTGTTGCAACTAAGTATCGAACCGAGCTTTTTTTTCTCTTCTCATTTTCATTGTTTTGTATGGCGCATAAGTATACTTGGTTCACCGTTGTACTAATACTTATGTGTTCAAATAAATAAATGTTTATTACTATTTATGCTATACTTTCTGTAATTCTTGAGATTGCATAAGTGATGAGAAAATTTTCTTGTTATTTATAATGTAGTTTAGGAACTTGACTTTTAATCAGTTAGTTGTAGGTCATTTTTTCACTTATAGAGGTTTGTAAAACTAAGGGGTTATTTTATTAGCTGAATAATACTCCGGAATATTTGTAAAAAAGCCATAGCTGAATCCCGCACTACTTACGAACGACTGTTGGTATATGATAGCCATACTTGTCCGAAACAATTGCTTACGTGTGTTAAACGGCGAACAAAACGTAGTGATGGCATTCCCCCGTTAATGTTACACAAAATACCAGATTCACCAGCCGAATCAGACTAGGCAAAAGCTGAGATTTTTTCAAACTATTTTAACTGAGTCTACTCTACGCGCATTGTTACAACCCGACCGTAGCTACCATGACGTGGTGGTCGGGCTTGCCTATCGTGATGACCCAACCGAGCTACATTGGCTGGAACATATGTTCCTGTAGGTTCTACCATGCCAAACAGGTCGATTGGAGGACGGCAAGACTAAAAGCAGCAATTCAATATCTGAGGGCGAAGTCGTACTGCTGACTGTAGAGGGGTGTGACAGCAGTAAGGTGTTTCCCTCGGACATCCAGCATGACAGCGATGCTGCCTTCCCACAAGGAGGGGTGGGGTTAGAAAACGTCGACCCTAAAAATGTCACACCTCACCTTACCTCACGGATTTCCCTCTCTGGCTGTAGGGCCCTTTGAAGAACGGGGCCAACACATTAAAAACCTTCCACAAAAAGGCCGTGCGCGACCGGCCTCAAGCATTTGTCCCTTGGGCTCTGCGGTCACGCTCCCAGGTCTTTAAGACCAACACTAATCCAATTTCCTCTTCAGGTTCCTGAAGAAATACCCTTCCATGGTGTGGGCAGCCGGGAAGTGACACCAGCCCTCATACCCGTAACTGCACACGAGACCAAGTTGGTCACATTCAAACCCTTCCTACACCTCCTAATACCTCTCTTATCTCCATGACTAACCCTCCTCACGTCCCTTTATCACCTCGCACCGCTAGGGCAAACGATTCGAGTACGCGGAACGTTATTCCTGGTCTCCTGAAACCACGCACTAAACTACACGTAGGAGCTTTTAACGTTCGAACACTGTGCCAAATAGGACAGCAGGCTTCCTTAGCTATGACTTTAGAATCCCGCGCCATCGATGTGTGTTGCAGCAGATGATGTAAAAGATGAGTTTTACAGAAAGCTCTCCGACAAGCTAGGCGCTTTGATTTAGTAATAGTGGCTGGTGACTTTAATGCTCAAGTAGGTAGACTAAGCGAAAGGGAAAGACACCTGATTGGATCTTATGGTGTCGTGGCTCAAAGAACAGATAATGGCGACCGTCTGTTGCAGCTATGCTCAGATAACCGCCTGTTCCGTGCAAATACTAACTTTAAGCATAAGGACAACATCTTTTAACATGGCAACCCCCTAATTCGTCCCAACGTTGGACTCAAATAGATCACAACGCTATCAGCCACCGATGTAGGGGTTGGATAGAAAACTGTCGCTCATTCTGGAGCACGTGCTTAGATTCAGATCATGCTCTAGTACGAGCACGTATCTGTCTGCGTCTTACTGGACGTAGGAAAGACGTTGCAAGTAAACCTCTTAGGGTCCTACTTAATGATAGTCAAGCTAAGAATATATTTCAGGAAAAACTAGGAAAACAGTTAGGCAGCCATGCAGGTGATGCTCACCCCGAGGCAGCATGGAATGATATCCTTAAAGCTGTGGAAACAGCAGTGATATCTGCTAGTACGGTAACCCGTAAGGTTAGAGAGGAACACTGGATCTCAGCAGCATCTATCGCACTGATAGATGCTCGGAAACTCATTCCACCGACTGTTAGCGAAACACTCAGAGAAAGATGGACATATCATACATTCTCAATCCAAGCCATAGGAAATCTGAAACGAGAGAGAGCAGCAGGCCCTGACAGGTTTACTCCTGAGATTTTTAAGGATAGTGGTTCAGTATTAGCCCAAATCCTAGACCTGTTATCTTATATCTGATGGATTCGTCCATAAATTATAGTCTCTCCAAATGTAATAGTAATGTATTCTATTTTGTAACCTGGTAATTTTGCAACAATAAATAACACTGGCTCTTAAAATATACCATAACTTATGATTGTATCATTCATAAAAAGATAGGTATAGACTACTTGGTTAGTGACCGCGAGATGATAGCAACCGATGGTTAGAGACCCTGAATGACATGGCTCAAAATCGTTTGCGTTATCGTTTGTGTTATCCCAAATTTTGATCTCCTTATTCCTCCTTGTCTCTTTTTTTTCTCTCAAATTTATTTCACTGTATTATACTCTTTAAGTAACATCTCCAAGCACTAATCTTCCCGATTACTGCTTATACTCTTATTTCCTTTACCAGTACGGGATTTGAATCGACCACTGCATCTTTGTGCTATTGTGGTGTGGCAACTCGAACTGATGTACGTACTTACGAAGTTCTACGTTGTTACTGACTGACTGATATCCACACAAGTTTTTATGATCTTAGTGTTTTATCTCGTTGAAACTTACTATATGGATGTAAATGTAGTGTGTTGTTTTACTGATTGAATTCATGCGTCAATTGAAGCTAGACCACCATGGAAAACCTGGAAGCACTCGACAGCCGTCTCGTCCTAGTATGTGACACCTCAGATGTGTGCATCCTCGACCCCGCACTACGCGAGATTCGAACCGAGGACTTGTCAGTCTCGCGCCAGGCGCTTAACCAACTAGACCACTGAGCCGACATCCAACGATGTTAATGTCTAACTTCAACCAATCCACGAAGTTGCGCTACCGTTCACCATTGTCTTCAGTGAGTTAATTTCTCACAACAGACCTGGTTGAACTCCATTGGTAACGGCTTCTCACTAGAACTCCAGCAGTATCTCTTGAATTCAGTCACCACTAGTGAGCAGATGATTATTATCAGAATGGATTTAATTTAGTATCATCTATAGTTTTATTAATTTAGATTACAATACTAAAAATAAATCAATCCTCTTTTCTTTTTTTTTTAAGAAAAAAGTGATGAAATTTCAAAGTTTTTTGAAAATTCTCATCTTGTTTGTCAAGTACAAGATTTACTCAATAAATATCTTAATTTAGAACAATATTATCTTTATGTGACAATGATAAAGGTGAGTTGTTTTCTCCGTTATACGATATCTATTGTAAGTGTTTATGGATAAATGACTATATTTTGTATGTTTTTATTGAATTCATCTATAATCGTTTAGTAGCTTTCCCACCTTGGAACCGTAAACCTTTGTCACTCATTACTTTCGTTAACTAAACATCTCCACTTCGGTATTCAACAGCAGCTCTAATAACGGTGTATAACTATATGTGGATTTTAAGGAAAGAATATTTATTCACAACTTACTCTCTATGAATAAAAATTTGTTTTGTTTCTAAACCTGGTTTTGTTGTGTCGTTGAGGATATCGGACTTTACAATTATGTTTACTTTCGGTTCTGGCGCATATGTAGACTGAATAGAGGATTTTACCTTTAATATTTCAATTCATCGTTCTTGATAGGCTTCAAATCACTTCTGCTTTTGCAGCAGCAACAATAACTACATTTGATCAAATGAAATAGACAATTTTCTTCTGATATACTTGGATTTGTTCAGATGGCGATAACATACTTGGGAATAGTAATCAATCTTAAACTACTAAAATGCATAATCGCTAACTTTATTGTAAAGTTTCTGCTAATGTTGACTAGAAAATTGATAGATGCCTTAATTTTACATTATTCTGCTCAATCTAGGGATAAAAATATTGTAGTTGTTATTTAACACCTTTACTAACAGTTCGAACTCGTGATTTCTTCACTGGGTTGTTAGTTTCACGCTAAATAGATGAACATCATTTCTAATCTGGATTTTTTCAATTATTTGTTTTGCAAGGCATTAAATTCAGATGAAGTCGACTCATCTAGTAATATATGGTGTTTTATTGACGATGTGTTTTTCATCACTAAGAAAAGTCTTGTGTAAGTTACAATTTTTTCGTTGTGAAATGTGTTAACTTCAATTTAGTAAGGTAACATATCTGTAATGACCCAGCTCTGATGATTTTCTCCAAGCGTCAAGGTCTTAGTAGTGTATTTCATGTTTTCAGGAAATTCAGTTTTCTTAATTGACGGGAATGATTACGCAGTATAAATGTGGCCATTCATTCAATCAACTACCCGTAGTATTGTAGCTTTCTTATATATGGTGTATTGTTTTGTGGACTGTGGATTCTGATGATCAATCACATTGGCTTTCGCCATCCTTCAGTTATTTATCCTATCACTGCATACACTACCGAGTGTCATACGATTCCTATCAGTTTTATAAAAGGATCAAATTAGAAATTTATTGGAAATCTGACGTAAGACGAAACGTTTTGTCTGCTAGCGTTAACCATCTTAAGGGATTTTCATAAAATCTGATAAGTCTTGCGAATTGAACGCTGTATTCGTTTCCCAAGCTATTCTGTAACGCCCAAGCTAGAACTATGCAGCAACCTGAACAACGAGGGAGAAGACGCAAAGTATGCGAGAAGTACTTCACTACAAGGTTCATTTTAACACAGAAAGCATAGGGTTTTTATAAAATTTTTGAATGTCCTTGGGTTGCTCGAAGATTCTGGAAAGCAGTATAACAATCAACCAATCAGAACCTCTACATTTGACGTTCCACTTCTTTAGTATTTTTGGCTAAAACTTCAAGTGAACGCCGATTAGATGAAACGCTTCTTAGTGTTTCCTGATCCTTGCTTGTCTTTTGCAAGAAAATTTCTGGATCACTCCAACAAAATCATGTTGAAATATATGATCGTCCATCACTAACCATTAAATAATCAATTGGTAGTTCCTGTTATATTATGAGGGGCTACTACTTCTTTACATTATTGTATCTCAGTGGTCAAATTTTAACTGCTAATGATTGTTAACATCGTTATTGCATCTGTTATCCGATTGATTTGATTTTGTGACCAGATTCCATTTACTGTAGTATCCATCAGTGGTTTACCAGTTTAGTATAAGATCATCTCTTCAGTAATCGGTTTGTACGACTTTCCCCGACGACATTGGTTAGACGACTGATCCACCTAACGAGATGGAAGTCCTCAAGGAACTCCAACTCCTGGAGCGCTACGAGTCGCCAGGCCGAGATCACTTACCTCCGACTCTTTTTAAGGATGGTGGTGACCTTTTGGCTGAGGAACCAAGTTTATTTATTTCGACTATCAAAATACATTGTTTTGAAACTTCCAATCTTAAAAGTAATTATATGTATGGTATATTCAGATACTAGTCAATGATTGAATATTTATTGTAAAAACACCAACTTCAGTCATACTGAAATTATTTTTTCCCTTTTAACAGTCGATCTCTTTCATCTGGTAATGTGGATACTATTTGTGCTATGGTGAATCATAGTTGTTCAATGCTAATTGATCTTATGGTAAATGATTTTCTGGGCAACGTTATTCGTACAGGGTTTCCTTCGGGTTGGGTACAAGATGCATACACTTATGTTCAGAATAGTGTTGCTGTGGGTAAGCTAGATTCCTCTGCTAAGCTTTTAGGAGTCCCATATAACACTTCTTACAAAAAATTGATTTCATAGGAAGTTCTGGTTATTTGCCTCTTTATATACAATAAGTTCAATTTATCTCTGCCAAATACCAACATATGAGTGAGTACTTTATATGTATTCATTCTGAAACATTTTACTACAGCGTTACCGAATTACGGGAATTATGTCTTCGTTTGATTAATGGTGGAATCCACAACACACGTTTCTTCCCATCTGGGACTCGTCAACTGGATTAGTCTGCATCCTTTTGTTAAAGTTCTCACTGCACCCTGAACTCAGTAGGAACTACTTCAAACTATAGAGCAGTATCCAATCAAACACTAAGTTACGATAGGGACCATTTTTCAAGTACTGCGATATCTTTTTTTTAGTTATAAATGTTTACATTTTACTGTTGTTGATATTCAGAATAAATTAATCAGTGTCTTTTTGTATGTGATCTTCATGATCCGTTATCAGTAATGAGATACAGATCAAGGATTTGTACACCTGAGAACTTTATAAAAATATTATAAAACCTTCATATTTCGTATTGGACTCACTTACTTTAATGCTCAGATCATTCATAAATTTGATTAAAATGTCAAATGCATAAGGTTGGTAATAACTATTTCTCTATGATAGTTATTTATTACTTTCATATCTTACTCCACATTTCTGCAGTTGATTTTATATCTAGATTTTCTAATTCTTCTTGAAAAAAAACATGTCTAAAAAAGTGGAGATATATACGTGATAGTTAAGAGCTTTTCACATCCATCTTTTTGCCTGTTGTATCATTTCACTTCAAATAGAAGTGTTGCTTGTATTACTGTAAGTCATTAGTAATAAAGTTAGTCGATGTTTTAGTAAATTGAATCTCACAATTTCATAATTAATTAAAATTTATAATAACTTTTTCTTATGCAATTACCTTTTACCCCCCCCCTATCTATTTATTCATCTTAGCTGGTTCACTTAGTTCTTCTTCATCCATTGTCAATGTTCCAACAGTATCATCATTTAATATGATTGGACCTAATGCACTTACACGATATCATTTTCTAATTACTCTTAATAGTATTGAAGCATGTCAAAAAGATTTATTGTCACTTGTTAATCATCTTGAAAGTGAATTAAATTTACTTTATCAAAATCAAGAAATCAATTCACAAAAACTTAATGTATGTTCTAACATTTTCTTATTAGTTTAAGTATTTTTAATAATGTACATTTTGTTTTCAGTTCATGTTATTAAATCATTTACTTAGATGTGATATTTTAACAGAATTTTTATCGCTGCTACGTATCTATGTATATTCCCATTTTTATCATTTAATGAAACAATAAATAGTCAATTCCACTTTTGATTAGACTATAGTGCTTTAGCTTATAAGTTTAATATTTAATAGTGGGATCTGATAATAAGTAATAAGTAGGCTATTTACTAGCATTCTCCATCTAACTCTTTCCTCGACAATCGTTTCCAGTTATTATTAGTGCTTTTGATGTCTGCTTCCAATTCTCTATGCAATATGTTCTTTGGTCTTCCTCTTTTCTGTTTCCCTTCAGGATTCTAAATTGGCGCTTGCCTTGTGATTGGAATCCGTGCGACTGTCGTAACCAGTGGTTAATGACTGGGTGAAATGGTTCAGAATTGTTCTCATTGATTAACTCAAGTACATTCACTCTTTGTCTTCCATTAGGTCTTAAGTTTCCTAATTACCTTGGAAATATTTCATCCCATGAATTCACACTGCCTAATTTTTTCTATTACTAACAATACTGTTACGAATTAAAATACTATAACATCTCTCTGTCCTGGTGTGGTGTAGAAACGTGAACCAATGTACATATTTGTCATGTTCTACGTTGCTTATTATACTGACCATTGAAACTGTTCCCAAAGAAGTACGAGCTTATTACAAACATTTTGGAGTTGCACTAGCTTACTGGATTCGGTGAGTTGTCAAATCATGATTCCAAACTGGTAGTATACATGATCTCCAATATCCAAAAAAGCTTTTTAATCACATACTTCTTTCTATATGAAATCCCAGGTTACTCGCCTTCCCTAGTGATAAAATGTTCACAAAGCAATTTTGAATTGCAAAGAATGTCTAATAATTGTAGTAATTAATTTGAAACAATATCAAAGAATAGTATATCCTGGATTCCTCTTCCATTTACTGCTATTTCATATCATTACGTTGAATATCATATTTCATTCCTTATAATTCTCATTTCCTTTGTTGTCTCTATCGGATTGATTTATGCATGTTTTTCTCTTTTTTTTTCTCTCATCTAATTTAAGATGTGTATCACGGAATTAAAAGTTTCTATCTCAGATCATCTTCAAGCATTACTTGATTCTGCATTCGAGTATCTTTCAACTAATGTCATTCAAAGTCAAGTAAAAACTTTGTTAAATGTTTTCAAATCATTAAAATATGATTTAATTGAGGTAAGAGTATAAAGCATAATTTAGTTTTATTTTCTTCTATAATCACCATAATCTATTTATCCCTTATATACTTCCATTCCAAGTGACAGAAAAAAATAAAAGTTTCCTTTATCAATATTGTAAATTTATTATTCTTAATGTGTGTGTGTTAAATTGGGATTAGTTGTTAAGACTTTCAACCATCATAAACTCACTACCGGGTACTTGATTTCAAACCATAATTCAAGTAAGGGCTAGTGATATGACCTAGTTGCCCAGACCGAGTTTTTTGAGTCTGGGCTCAGAATTGGAACCCAATAGCTGAAAGCCAAATCTCTTAACCAGTTAACTACCGTTTCAGACAACGTCCTTTTTATTTGTTCTTACGTCATAGTTATCGTTTTTACTAATACTTCGTCTATATTGTCTTCGTGATAGTGTGGAATATTTTGGCTGGTAGAATATTTCGTCATATGTTATTTTTTACTACTCTACAAGTGTTTTAAAAGTTTTTAGACTATTTAAGGTCTTATAGCTTTGATGTTTTAATCTTGAACATAGGTTATAGTTACCAAGGGAAATAATGGTTTTACTTACGTAATCAACGTATAACTACTATCATAGAATTTCTAGTAGAATAGTACCGACTGCATATTTCCATTTCTCTGCCTGCAAATCTTGATTCACTGTCTTTGTTGTACAGATTCATTAGTCCCTAAGCTAGTTACAAAGAATTTTTTCTGTGATAAGTGATGATAGCCTGGCTCACGTCTAATAAAGTTGTATGAATTCTGTTCAGTTGGTAAGTTTACTTTGTTGCAAGAAATTGTATGTAGAAGAGAATGTGAACTAATGATCAAAATAGCTTCAATTTTCCAATTTGTATGGACATTTTACAATAACCGGATACATTGCTAACAGTTATGAATTGAAGAGAAATGTAGATCTTTACTTAGTCAATATGTACCAGTGAGAAGGCCTGTGAGATTTATGTAGTTATTACAAGTATATTACTTATGAGTACCTACCAATTTATCGCGCAATATTCCTGCCCGTGATTTATGTTTTACTGCCAACCTAATTTCTTATCGTTGATAATGTACTTATTGTTCAATCTGTTATACTACTTTGGTCATTTTCTTTATTGTGTACTGAAAGTATTGATACTAATTTCATCACCTTGAATATCAGTTTGTAACCTTAACCTAAGGACAGTTTCAACTCACGACATGATAACTGATCAATAACCTCGTGTCACATGTACCATTCTTATAATAATAATAATAACAACAATAAATTTGATAGGGATCGTTCATTAGATTCTTAATGAAATGAATTTTCTTAGTTATTTAATTATATTAATAAGATAACAATATTTATTTGGTGAAACCATTTTCATGATATGATTTCCTCTGTTTAATTTCAATTTTATTTCAGGAGGATCTAGATGTATTCGCTGCTAATGATCGATGGATTGAATCATGTATAGCTCATACAGAAGATTTTCTCAAACCATTTAGGGTATTCAAGTTTCATATTGTAGTTATTATTTTTTTTTAATAATTATGTCATTTCTATCACTGTAGTTATAGAATTTGGTTAATACATAAATTTACATAAATCGTTTTTATGGTGGAGAAGATTTGTAGCTCAGGTGGATGATTTTGGTGGAAATCTTAGACAGAGGAAACTCCAAAAACACTAGAGAATTTTTAGAAGCCTGGCACTCAGGTCAATCAACAATCAACAGGCATATTGAAATCAATCCAATTTATCAACCAATCAGAAAATCATCCACAAACATAAGAACAAGAATCAAAAGATTAGGAGACACAACCATAACAAAGAAGTAAACAACGACAAATTTAAGGTCAATAAGAACCAATCAACATCGAGGTGCACAGAACAAGCTTTAAGACACATATGGAGAAATTCAAACACTTCACTTCTATCTGAAGTTTGTGCTGATGATGTCGTTCAGAAGAACGATGAAAGCTCCACGACCAAACCATCCAGCTCAGAGAACAAAACTCCACCAAAATCATCCACCTGAGCTACAAATCTTCTCCACCATCTCAACTAAATTATATATAACTGACTAGCATACACCTTGACTACATAATTGTTCACTTTGACAAGTATTTGATTTGTTCGAATTCAGCATTCATGATTTCATAACTAGATTATTCTGTTGTGTTTTGTTTCATAAAGAGATATGTTTATCAAATTAGCATTAACTAGTGCTCTTATTTTGGTCTACTTTATTATTATTATTATTCCAAAGTGATCATCCATGATACTAAATGGATTGAAGAATAAGATCTTCAGTACTCATGACGTCAGCGACATATTCACCAAATTTGTTTCGTACACTTTAGCTACCATCTTTATTGATTTTATAATTTCAGAGTTATCTCAACTATTCACTTTATTAGTATATCTGTATGTAAAATACAGAATTTTGAAAGACTTAATAAGTTTCATTGACTTAAAAGTATATGTACATAGTTCTTATTATTTTATTGCCTATAATTTATATCTATTATCTTCTAATTAGTCAGTCAGTCAATCAGTCAGCTACAACATAGGACCAGACACATATATGCATCGGTCCAAGTTGCCATACCTCATTAACACAACAAGATGCACACTGGATTTATAAAAGTAGTTAATTCAATGATGATGGTAATATACAAAAGAAAGATTGCATATAAGAATATAGTACAGGAAGAAAGAATTAGATCATAGAAAGAAAGATATGAAGCGATTTTAATCTCTTAGTTTAAGGGAAGACAGGGAGTGTATACACCGATGCCATTGTGATCGATTCTGAGCCGTGTCACCAAGAGTCTCCAACCATTGCTTACGATAGTCACGCGGACCCCAACCAAGTAGTGTGCATCTACCAACATGGCTCAGACTAGAAGTTAGTGACGTTGTGACCTGATGCCACGTTTTGGTTTGGTCTTCTAGTTAGTGACCCTTTATCACGAAAAGTACTACTAATTAGAAGAGTACTTTTCGTGATAAAGGATCATGACTTCAAATAATCTGTATATGCTTCCGAATGATTTTTGTATAGTAAAGATTAAATGTTTTGATTAAAATGTACAATAATGAGTAGCTGCTTACTATTATTATTATTATTCAATGAATTGTTTGTTTCTTTTGTTTGTATTCTCATTTATAGTCTGTTCTGTCAACTGAGAATAACGATCGATTTGTATTAATTCTCATAAATGAAATTTTGCATCAACTTGATCAATTTATTCAAAGGAAATCTTTCAGTAGAGTAAGTCACTATGGAATATTTCTATTTCAATGTTCAGTTTTGTTTCTATGCCGTTTTTTCTTCTTCTTCTTCTTTCATACTGAATTTTTATTCAATCTTTTTTTTTCTTCACTTTTTTATTTCAAAATAGTTTGGAGCTATTCAACTAGAAAAAGAATATCGTAATTTGTTTGCATATTTGACATCAATATCTTACAGCTCTTTGCGTGATTATTTTACGCGTAGTTTACAGATTTGTAGACTTTTAAACTTGGATCGAGTAAGTTCAGAATTATTTCCCTATTAGTTTAAAGATTTTAATAATAATTATTATTATTGGATAAATATCTATAGAAGAATTCTAGATTATAAATGAATCTTCTGAGTAAACTTATCTTGATTTTAAGAAATGTAGATCACCTACTCAGGAAAAGTGTACATTTTTTAAGCTTCAAGATTAGTCTCAGGTACTTACTTACGCCTGTTACTCCTCGTGAAGGAACATAGGCCGCTCAACAGCATTTTCCATCCAACCCTGTCCTGGGCAATCCTTTCCAGCTCCTTCAACTATTGTGATCTAACGAAGAAAAACTTATCACAGTCTTTTTTTTTCTCAGCATTGATAATGTTGTTTAGTTTCCTGTTATCCTAAAAGTTCAATTATAAGAAATAGATCAGTCCATTTTTGTTTGTTATACTTTTGTTTTCAATGTGTTTGTGCTTTTTCAGATTGAAGAAGTACATTATTATTGGAATAGTTCTAATTGGCGTCTTACTGCACATGAAGTCAGAAGTATTCTATCTCTAAGGTTAGTTTCAATTATATATATATATATGAAGAGGCTTGATAACTTCTTATTTCTTTGATTTTAAGGGATTATTCTGTACTAGATAAGCTGATTTAACATAGTTGAATTGGTAAAATTAGGTTAATCAGTCAACGTGATCTTCTATCTGTGTCTTTTAAAGCAAACAGGGTATTCGTTAGATGATTTTCTAGCTCGTTGACCCATCATCATTCGGATTATGAAAATTCGAACCTATGACATAGTAACTTCATGGACTGATAAGAATTTTTGGTTTGAGGTTCTTAATCCTCTTCTAACCTGCTACAATTCTGTTCATCATTAGATATGGGCGTAAGCATTGATTAAAGTAAGTGTTAACATATGTGGTAGTCTTATTTCATCGAATTACCACTCGCTTTTAGGACCTTACGCTTAACTACAACAATATTGACTCTGTTGTTCTAACCTACGTTAATGTCACATAGAAGGCATTTGTGATGGAATAATTTGAATACTTTTTTCTGGTTAGCTTTTTTTTAGCAAGTTAGTTTTCTAAGGGGTGGGGTCGCTAACCTCATGCCCAACCCTCCTCCTTCATCTAGACTTCAGACTGGCAGTAGCCCCCGGAGGGACTCCAGACGGAGTTTGTGATGGAATACGTGAAACCTATACGTGTCCAGTTTAAGTAGCGGTCACTTTCAGTATCAGTTAGTTTTTTATCGATATCTTCCATAAGCTTTTTTCAGGTTTACTATATATATATATATATATATATATATATATATATATATAAATTCTATTTTAATATTTCTTATTCAATCTATTTTACAGACGTGATTTTGCTGTAAATGAAATTCGTGCACTTAAACTACAATGATCTTACGTTTTGTCAGTTGTTCTCCTTTCTTTTTTTCTCTAATTGTTTTTATTTTCTCTAAATGTTTTCGTTTTGTTTTTCTAATTTTTACAATCTAATAAAATTTATGGGATATCTCAATTGTTGTTACCATAGAATTGGTTAGTTTTTACAAATTTGATAGAGTTGAATTAGAGGTTTTCTTTTTTGAGTCATGAATTCTTCAACTTTGACAAGAAAATTGACTAACTATTCATATTAATATTATTCATGAATTTATGATCAACACAAATGGAAAATTTAGAATTACATTAGTCGATAATAATTGAATTACAATAACTGTAGAACCTGATGAGAATTTATCGAAAAGAATATTCTTCGTTCAAATACTAGTCTTTTATCTAATGATCGTTGAAAAATATGTATCTTTATTCGTTTCTGTTTTATAAAACAATACGAGATGAAATTGCCTTGAAAATAAATGATTCGCACGAGTCAGTCTATGGTTGCATTTCCATATATATTCAGTTTGAGCATAACAAAACGGTTCCTCGAATTGAAGACAGTCACGCTCGTTGATTAGATATTCCATATTTTATTGGAGGATCAATAGTCTGTTTTTACAAAATGCTTTAGGTATTATGGTTTGTGTAATTTGTAGACGATATTCGTGAATTATTGACCGCATTGGCTTACTTTGAAATAAATTGGTAAGTCTCCGTTGTAAAATCGTCACCTGTTGGACTCAACTAGTTTGGGATTGACGCAGTCGTCAACAATAAGATTAAATGATCGTATCAATGTTTTTGGTACTGAATGATGTTAGATTTGGTATATTGTCGAACCCCCGCCTAGTTGTCTAATAGCTAAGTGCTCTCTTCGAGATATATGACCAACCTGTAACGAAAATATTTTAGACTATTAAATTATGGTGAGATTTGATCAAATGTTCTTCAGGGCAGTATGAACATTGCTGTATATTAGAGTAAAACCTATTTAGGGTCTAACTGAAAACAAAACCGTTTGGTTGTGTGTACTAGCTTTCACTACCGAAATTTTGAATATATATATATAAGATCTTTACAAAAATAACCAAACTCATCACTACTCGCTTGCTGATTTCACATCTGAAATGTTCGAATAATGGAATTTCCGTGTTGAAAACGATCATCCATACACAGAACACCTTGACGAAAAAATGTAAGCGAATTCAATTCAATTCTTGAACTAATAATTATGCAAGTAAGAAAATCAATCATTGTTGTACCTCGAACTTTTTTTTACACCGGAAATAGCATGTTTATTATCATATAACACTCAGTGCTCGGTTTATTCACAGTGATGTCTCTATTTAATTTATTTTTTATGAACACAGACATTATTCCAAAGAGGCATCAACTATATATGCATTACATTTTGTCATTCGATTTGTGTGAGGGCTGGGAGACTGCCCAGGTGCCCAAACCGGAGCAGGTGGTTCTCTTAGGAGGACATACCCCAAACCTTTGAACTAAAGGTCTAATCCACAAGGCAGTGGAGCAGCGTTAGGAGATGCAGTCCCGTTGTAGCCGGTGATTAATAGGTTCATACACCATTTATTCCCTCCTGAAGACTATATGGAACATTGATTTGGAGTCAGGGTTTTCCAACTCCCTTAGGTGGACCCGCCAACCCGGTTAAAGCGCTGGATGTTCACTTCTCATCCTCTCGATTTCGTAAACAACACCCCCATTACGAAAAGGTAGTGAGTAGGATTTCCCTGACTGGCTGTATATATGTGACCATGTAAAAGCATTTCAAGAGAGAGCGAACTCGACCGTACTAAGGTATTTGGCTGTTCTGCAGTCTATAGGACATTATATGTGGTGTGGCAAGTCAGATGACAGTTGATCCGAAATAATTAATTAAACGGTCACCACAAGCAACAACGTCTTTTGAATACATCAAGTGAAGTCGTTAACGCGTAGACTTCTAGAAATCTACGAGACATTAATTTGTATTGCAGAGCCTTCCTAATCATACTAAGTGAGCGAAGCAGAAGTGGTCTTGCTAATTTCAACCCCATACAGAAGAAGGTTGGATATTTGTTCAGCAACCTCATCCCATAGAAAACAACCTTGCTAAAAAAAACTCTAACCAGAATAAACCATTTCAACTGTGTTCTCCAAGTTGAAGCATCTTTATTCAAAAGAATTATGAAGCCTCATGATGTAAGCTGAGATTCTTCAGAAGTTACAAAAGCGAATGATAGAATAGGATTAACACTAAAGAACATCAAAGTAACATATTCTATACACAGTGGATGGATTTAATTTTGTTGTTGTTGTAAACATTTTTTTATACACTAAGAACATGGAATGATGCAAATAAACAGAGATTCGAAAACATTTTTGTATTGTACAATCATCAGGCATATAAATTCATATATTCACATAAATTCAATCTCGTTAGTAACGAACGAAATACAAACACAATTCTTTTTTTCTCTTCTGTTTTTTTTTGTTGAAGAGAAAATGTTTTCGTCATTGATTTCTTCTTCACACTTTCACTCAAATCAACAATGATATCACGTTTTATTCATTACATTTTGAAAATAAAAAAGTTGGACAGTTAAAAGTAAAAAAAATGTATCTTGTACACTATACAATGCTTAAGGTATTTTTCCAAACTGTTCAAATTATTGATCGAAATCAATAAGATTATAATTTGATTGTTTTCAAAGAATAGTAATATGTAATAATTGAGTTGTTGCTAACTTGACGTGGAGGTCAAGCTTGCCTGTCGTAATGAAGCGACCGAGCTATACTGGCTGGAACAATCGTTTCTCAAGGTTCTACCATATCAGACAGGTCGGTTGAAGAGCGGTAAGACTGAAAGCAACAAACCCAAGGTCCGAATGAGAAATCGTACTGCTGTATGTACAGAGGTGACAGCAGTAAGGTGCTTCCTTCATACAACCAACATAACAGCGATGATGCCTTCCCACAAGGAGGGGTGGGGTTAGAAAAGGTCGACCCTAAAAATGCACACCTCGCCTTATCCCACGGATATCCGTCTCCGGCGGTAAGATCTCAACAAGTACGGAGCTAACACAAAAATTACTCAGAAAAAGGTCGTGTGTGACCGACCTCAAGCAGTTATCCCTTGGGCACTGCGGTCACGCTTCCAGGTCACTAAGACCACCTCTAATCCAGAAGAACCCTTCCACGGTGTGGGCAACCGGGAAGTGATAACCGACCTCATACCTCTAACAGCACTCAAGACCACTGTATTCATAATCAACCTCCCTCTTCAATTCCTATTATTCCTCCTACATCGACATTCAACTCTAAACTTCCTTTTTCGCCTCACCCCTCAAGTGTTACCATAACCAACGATTCTATTGCGCGAAACACTGTCCCGGGTGTACTGAAATCTCGATCCAATTTTAGCGATTAGGTTGACTAATATTTTAGCTAAGATCTGGGAGTTAGACGTTATTCCATCTGGTTGGTCACAATTGCTTATCGTCCCAATATATAAGATAGGGTTAAAATCATCCTGTGACAACCATAGAGGCATTAGTTTAACTAATATAATATCTAAAATACTAGCCTCGATAATTATCAGACGCCTAACTAAGACTCGTGAACTGCAAACACGAGAGAATCAAGCTGGCTTCAGACCTGATCGTGGCTGCATCGACCACATATTCACCATTTGTCAGGTTCTAGAACACAGGCATACTTACCGGCGTCCGACAATGGTGGTCTTTCTAGACTTGAAAGCAGCATTTGACTCCGTAGACTGAGAGGTTCTGTGGCCGTGTCTATCACGAAAAGGCGTACCTCAGAAGTACATAAACCTTGTGAAGGCTCTTTACTCGAACACTACTAGTCGAGTGAGAGCTTATGGCGATTTGTCATCTGCTTTTGCAACTTCAAGTGGTGTCCGTCAAGGCTGTCCACTTTCTCCATTTTTGTTTAACTTCATCATAGACCTATTGATGGAAATAACACTCTCGTCGACTGAATTCTCGGGTATTAATCTCCTTCCAGGAGGTCCACTTATCGACTTAGAATATGCGGATGATATAGTCCTGTTTGGTGAAGACGCTGATAAAATGCAGAGTCTTCTGGTAGCACTGAGCAACAATGCCAGGATGTTTGGAATGCGCTTCTCTCCCTCTAAATGCAAGTTGTTGCTTCAGGACTGGTCTCCGTCAACACCTGAACTAAGGATAGGGAGTGAAGTAGTTGAACGCGTTGACAACTTCACTTATCTTTGAAGTCTGATCAGCCCTAATGGGTTGGTGTCTGACGAAATCTCAGCACGGATTCGAAAAGCTCGTTTGGCTTTTGCCAACTTACGTCACGTATGGCGAAGGCGAGATATCCGTCTATCAATAAAAGGACGAGTATACTGCGCGGCAGTTCGTTCTGTTTTAATTTACGGCAGCGAAACATGGCCATTAAGAGTAGAAGACACCCGTAAGCTATTAGTATTTGACCACAGATGTCTTAGAAATATTGCTGGCGTCTGCTGGGATCACCGGGTAAGTAATAGTGAGGTTAAAGGCAGGGTATTAGGGAATGATGATGGTAAAAAGTTGATGAGATTGTGAATATTCATCGACTGAGATGGTTGGGCCATATGTTACATATGCCTGAACACCGATTACCACGACGTGCAATGCCAACCGGTGTTGGAGATGGTTGGAAGAAAGTTAGGGTTGGCCAAACCAAAACGTGGCATCAGTGCCTGAAGTCACTAACTTCTAGTCTGAGCCATGTTGGTAGATGCAGACTACTTGGTTGTGTTTCGAGTGACTATCGTAACCAATAGTTGAAGACTGTGTATGACATGGCTCAGAATCGATCAAAATGGTGTAGGTGTATACACTCTCTGTCCTCCCTTAAACTGAGATTAAAATTGCTATATATCTTTCTACGAACTAATCCTTTCTTCCTGTACTATTTCCTTATATGGAATCTTTCTTTTATATATTACCACCATTAAATTTGCTACTTCTATGAAGTCGGTGTTCATCTTGTTGTGCTAATGCAATATGGCAACTTGGATCGATGCACATATGTGCCTGTTCCTACGTTGTAACTGACTGACTGACAGTACACTAGTAAATAAAATATTTCGGAATTAATAAGTATCAGTACTTGCTGATGAAATAACATACAAAATGAATACATGTTCTGGATCTACTTATTATTTTCATTTAAATTATAAATAACTAATAATAATAATATATGTGTTCATCTTGTTGTGCTGATGCAGTATGGCAACTTGGATCTATGCACATATGTGTCTGTTCCTACGCTGTAGCTGACTGAATAGTTGAGTCCAAATGTCAATTAAAGCTAGATCATCATGAAAAACCTGAAAGCACTGGACGGCTGTTCAATTCTAGTGTGGAATTCCTCAGCGCGGTGCACTCACTAACCTGATTGAGGGATTCGAACCCGGGACCTACCGGTCTTGCGCACAAACGCCTAACCTCTAGACCACTAAGCTGTCATTCAACGGTGTTAATGTCTAACTTAGACCAATCCATGGTGGGCTAACTTAAATTAACTCATGAATTCAACTATTAAATTTCTATAATATCCACGAAACCCCTTTCTAATAATAATAATATTAATATCATTGTGACACTTGAATACAATATTTAAGTGTAATGGATATATTCAAAAGAGTTGTGCTTATAAGCCAATTATTGTTTTTATTTTCTAAATATGTGGATTTGTATCCAAGCAACAAAATTGTTAATATATTTGCAAAATACAAATATATGCATTAGGTAATTTGTTGAATCCCTTTTGGTCAAACAAATCAATGCATTTGATTAATTCAATGTATTAAAATAGTTAGAAATTTAGCGATGGATAGTTTAGCAGTTCAGTCAGTTGTTTGACAGAAGAAATTCAAATCCATTTCAACTAAGACTTGAGATCTATTCCGGATTCAATAAGCGTGTTAAAATTTCGATGGAGGACTGTACTAAACATCTGTAATACAGTCTGCCCGACTAACCAATCATTTTTTGGCTGCAGTTTTAATTTGGCCACTAACGAATGATGATCTGAAGCTATAGCAACTGTTCTTTTTTCTCACGTCTTCCATAGACGTTCTGAGTTTTTTAATTGATGCATTTTTTATGTGTTCGTGGAAAAAATAGTACCACTCATAACGATTTATTGAAAGCATATAGATTTGTCAGTCTCATTATTTTTGTTCCTTTCTCCCTATTTATGTCTCCTTATATCTTTAAACAAAGTGTTGATCTCCCATTGTGATGGTCAAGTTTTTTCATGGGCCCTTTTTCAGAATGGAATGCAACCTCTCATAAAACTGATTTTTACAATTTTTCCTGATATTTGTAATGAAGTTTGAGTTGGTATTTTGAAAACAAGACAAACCTTAATCATTTCAGATAATCATTATCATGATTGTCAACTTCATCACTGATTTTCTTGATAAACGAACAGAAAGGAAACGAAAATTTAGCTACCCAATAATGACTTAAAACCTAAACGATCGAAATATTTGCCAACGTATTAACCCTAGACCTTTGGGGATTCAAAATAAGAAAGATCGATTCAGTGAAGAGTTCTATTTTCGGAGAATTCATTTTCAAAACTGTACAATAGCAAAGATATGTACTTATTTCACATGATTATAATAATTACAATAATAATGATAAGAAAGTTCTGTTAAACATAAGCTCAATAATCAGACACCTTGTGAACACAGGTCACTCAATCAAAGTGGACTCTTCCCTCAGTCGTCTACAAGGTAAGTATAAAATTGTCAAAGGCAGTTTTATATTGCATCTTCTTATCACCATCAAAAGAATCTCTGGAAAAATCAGATATATGTATCCAAAAGCAATTGGTACAACCTCTTCTTCTAGGGTGGTCTTAATCTCTGATAATTTTCTGTCTTCTTCATCATTTTCTTCCATAGCCATCTGCTTCCCATTCTATTTTCTCCATAGACCTTTTATAATGTACAAGAACACGTAGGTACAACCAGTGTGAAATATGAGAACCATACAGTAAATGCTTCATTTGCAAATTTTTATCATTTGTTTTTCACATTCTGTATGATGGTTATGAGTTTCATCTTTTCTTCAACTGTAGGAATGCAACCCTTACTTTGTCAATCCTTGCATTTATATATCTGAATCAGATAATGCTTGTTGAGTAATGATGCTACTGAGGTACGTGGCAGTTTCCGTATCTTCCAGAGTTCCTCCATCAAGTGTTTGCTTGTAGTTGTTCTAGGGTTACTGACTGTTTCAAACTCGGATAACGGAGTAGGGTTGGGGATGGGATCCTCAACCCCATCCCATAGAAAACAACCTTGTTGAAAAATGCTAACAATCGCACACTGACTCAATGAAATTTAGTTAACATATAATACTTTAAATAAATATGTACCATGGCTAACTAGCTATAATGATAAAACTAGTTGTAAATAGAATTCACTTTTTAGAAAAAAATACCTGCCCATGGAAACTAATCACTTATTTGTTTCTGTTTGCTTAAAAGATTCACTCAATATGCCTACCAATAGTTATTATTATGACATTGATTAAATATAACGACGAGTGAATGAAGTTAATAAATTATTATCGGCTACGTAAACATGTAAACGATAAATTTTAAAGGTTGATACAATAATCTGAATAATAAATATAAACACTATAATAAATGAAACTGTTAAAGATTTCAGGGAACTCA